CGACTTGGCCGACGTCGCCTTCTATAGCACCGTGGGATGTCAGTCCGTGCCTGCAGTGGTCGCGCTAACCTTCTTCTTGGACTTTGGCGTCGTGGCTGCAGATTTCTTCTACGCGTCATGAGATGAGACGACGAGGGCTTGATGCTGTGTGTACGAGTTCAACAGCGAAGGGCGCTTCGAGCCAATCCATCATGCGGTTCACGAGCTCGTCCTTGATCGGCAGCAAGTTCTTCTCCTTGAAGGACTTGGGCGACCGCTCAATCTACGGTGCCTTGAGCCCGATGCAGTCCCAGCGGACGGAACCGTACGTGCAGGAAATCCATCATGTGATGGATAAAGCCCATGGTCCCGCGGCAAAGCTTGATCGCGAGCTCGTCACGGAATGCTTCCCGGGCCTACGACAGCGCATGAGATTGCACTGGCTATGGAAGGATCGTGCAGTTGCTTACAGCGTCGTCCTTGAACTTGGGGTACCCACTAAAGTCGAGGATATGCTCCTTGACGTCCTTGATCTACGACAATCGCGGGATAAGATGGCAGCAACGCGGACCGCAGGCGTACGATCGCCGCCGAGTAGCGACGCGAGTGCATGACTTGGTAGAGCTTGGTGAGGAGCTCGCTGTCCTTCTTCGTGCACTTGGCCACCTATCATCCAATCGTACCGAGTCCTCATCCCCATCTTTGCGCGGACCTTCTCGGCGAGGTACGGGATATCGCGGAGCTTTGTGCCAGGGCCAACCGGGACCACGAAAGCTTCCTCGGCCTTGTTCTCGGTCGCGAGCGAGAAGACTGCCACTGGCTTGCGCGAGCGTTCGCTCCGGCGCTCGCCGGGGATCTCGTCGTCGACCTTGGGCTTGGCGGAAGCGTGCTTCTTCGCCTTCGACGCTTCTTCGTCCTGGGACGCTTCCGGCGCATGCTCTTCCTGCGTCGACTCCATGTTCACGTTGGTCTCTTCGGATGTCTTGCTTGCCGTCTCCATCGCCTGCCTTGTTCTTGCCTCCGACTGGCCGATTCGAAAATGAAATTTCCACCAATCACACGCGGGCATCGAGGCGCGAAGGGGTATCCGGCAGCCGGATAAAATGCCAGATGAAACGGAAAAATCTTTGGGCGTACACAAAGCGCACCTCATCGTGTGAAAGGCGCACCTGGCA